ATTTTAAAGCACCATCATGCTTAACACAGTCATGTTTTATTGTCCAACTTGAGTAAACTTCCAAAAAGACCCTTTTACACAAGCCCCAGAACATTTGGAGAACAGGAAAAGGCAGGCTTTATCATGCAAAGAACTTTCCCTGTGCTACAGCAAGGATGTGCCAAAGCTGCACACAGACTGCATTCCTGAATTCAACAATTTCTGTGTTGGGCAAGCCATGAAACTTTTTCCCAACATTATACCTAATTTCCTTCTTGTTCAGTAATAATGACCAAAATTCACCACTTGCTGCCTTTAGATATTAGACACAAAAAAAGGTCAGTAGCATGAACAGGCTGAAATTCCCACAGTTTCCTGAAAGGTATCACTTTGTAAAGAGACAGATTTGTTCTGGTTTTTGGGAGGAGCGTTATGCTACCTTTAAGAATATGTTAGAGACAGTTACATTAAAATGTATTAATTCATAGCACAAATATTTATTTAGTGTTTCAGACACTGATAAGAGAAAAAAAGATTAAGATAGTTTCCTTATTTCTTCAGGTAATATATATTTTAACAGTTTAAGGGTGCTGAGACCCATATAAGTAGGCTATGAGGTGTTATGATTTTTGACTAATTAGTGTGCTATCAGATATACGTGAACTTGACATTCTGTGGGTTTATCCTACTTGTGGTTCATTGAGCTTCTTGAATCTGTTATATTTATGTCTTTCACCAACTTTGTAAGCTCCCAATGATAATTTCTTTATATACTTTTTCTGAACTGTACTCTTTTTCTTTCTGAAACTCAGATTACACAAATGTTCAACCTTCTGATATTGTTGCACAGGTATCTGAGGCTATAAAGAGTTTTTTCTCCCTCAATCATTTTTCTCTATTTTGTTCAAATTGGAAATTATTTTTTTTATTTTATTTTTATTTTTTTTTGGAAATTATTTTTATTAATTTTCAAATTCACTGACTCTTACCTTTTTTTTTTTTGACTCTTACCTTTCTCATTACCATTTCACTATTGTGTCCATTCAGTGAGTTTTTAAATTATAAGTTACTGTATTCCTCAGTTCTAAATTTTCCATATGGTTTCTGTTATATCTTCTATTTCTTGGCAGAAATTTTCTATTTTTCCATCCTTTTCGATTGTGTTTGTCCTTCCTTGGAGAATTTTTATAATAACTGACTTACCACCTATGTCAATTTGAGCACTGACACTTGTTGATTATCATTATCCATACATCTTGAGATTTTCCTGGCTCTTTATATGCCAATTAATTTTAAATTGCATCCTAGACCATTATGACCACTATGTTATAAGACTCTGGGTTTTATTTATAGTCTACGGAGAATGTTGATGTTTTAGGAGAAATGGTTTATGTTCAAACTCCAAGGTGCAATAAGCCCCTTGAAGCTATGGTTCTAATACCAGTTCAGTTTTTAAAATCCTTTAGAGAGCTCTTGGATTTGTCCTCTGTGTGCAGCATACAGTGACCAGACTGAGACCTGGGTGGGAGTATATGCTACAGTTCAGTTCTCAAAGTATGTAGGCAATTAAGAGTCAGATCCACATATGTACAGCTCAGGAATAAACCTATAAGCATAAACAACTTTAAGGAGTTGCTTCCCCAAGCTCCTCTCACTCTTCAATCATCAAGAATTTTTTGGTTGCCTGGGGACCTTTTTGTATCACCCAGACAGAAAGCTAAAGCTTCATTCACCCACACATCCTGGAACTATGCCAAACAGCAGAAGAACAGAAAAAGAAAAAGTCTGTGAGCATTTGCCCCATTCTCTCTACAACTCCTCTAATCAGAGAAGGTTCAACTCTGCATTTTAGGCCTATCCCTATTATTATTGCTGCTGCCACAGGACTTCTTAAAAACTGGGGCAAATGAGAACAGAGAAAAGAACAGGAAACAACAGGGAAAAAAGCAGGGAGAGCCTCACTTTTTCTGAGTGTTAGAAGACCCCTTTAACCTTAGAGCTATAACTAGAGGGCTTCTTGAATTCTGTGTGCATTAATGCACACAGATTTGGGACAGCACTGAATTCAGGCTCCTCCTGAATATCAAGATGCATACCTGAAAAGTGAAACACGACAAGGCTAGGAAAAAACTGATAAGGAAGCATTATGCTCCAAAATTCTAAGCAAACTCACAGAGTTAAGACAATCATGTGCCCTATAAGATCTCGGGGACTAGGAATATAATGGATTTCACTCCTGTGATTAGGGGTATACTATTTGACATAGCTGACTTTGTGGAAGGGAGATTATCTTTCATGGCCTGATGTATTGATGAGCCCTTAAAAAGGGACCAGGCTCTCTTCCTGGCAAGCGTGAGAAGGATTTGATGCTTGAGAAATTCTCCGTTTCTACAGTTAAAAACGGAGAGCCACATAGCCAGGCTTGAAAGATGCCTCTAGTAAGAGAAATCTTTAGTCAATCCCCTACCAAGACCAAGCAAGGAAATGAGAACCTCAGTTCTACAACTTCAAGGAACTAAATTTGAATTCCCTTGGTAGCAAATTCTTCCCCAGAGCCTTCAGGAAAAAATACAACCAAACTAACATCTGGATTTCAACCTTGCAAAAGCATAAGCAGAAAACCCAGCCACACACCATGCCCAGACTTCTGACCAACAGAAAAGTAAGATAATAAATACATATTCAAGATGCTAGGTTTGTGGCAATCTGTTAAACAGCAAAGGAAAACTAACTTAAGGGGCTATCATGAATGTAATGCCAAAAATGTAACAACATAAAACAAATTCTTCAAAGGACAAAAATTATCAAAACTGACACAAAAGAGAGCAGCCCGGGTGGCTCAGTGGTTTAGCGCTGCCTTCAGTCCAGGATGTGATCCTGGAGACCCAGGATTGAGTCCCACATCAATCCTCCATCCCTGCATGGAGCCTGCTTTCTCCCTCTGCCTGTGTCTCTGCCTCTCTCTCTTTCTATCTCATGAATAAATAAAGTCTTAAAAAAAAAAAGAAACAACTAGAAAATCTGACTTTCTATATATCCATTAAAGAAATTAAATTTCTAGGGGTGCCTGGGTGGCTCAGTGGGCTAAGTGTCCAACTCTTATTTTCGGCCCAGGTCATTGGATGGGGGCCCCATCTCAGGCTCTGTGCTCAGAGGGGAGTCTGCTTGAGATTCCTTCTCTCCCTCTGCCCCTTCCCCCCACTTGCTCACTCTCCCTTTCTTTCTCAAATAAATCAAGAAATAGAAAGAAAGAAAGAAAGAAAGAAAGAAAGAAAGAAAGAAAGAAAGAAAGAAAGAAAGAAAATTGAATTTCTAATTAAAAATCTCCCCACAAAGAAAACTCCAGGATCAGATGGCTTGGAGTAAATCTTACCAAACATTTAAGGAAGAAATAATACCAATCCCATATAAGCCTATTCAGAAAAATTGGTAAGAGGAAGACTTCTCAAGTCAGTATGTAAGAGGAAAAAATATCAATAATTTTTTTCTTTAATGGTGTGTGGACTATTTTACCTGTTCTAACAATCATGTTATACTTCCGCAACTCAACAAAAATTTAAAAAGTTTAAAGGAAAAATAGAATTACCACTAAAACAGAAAACAAAGGCTAACTGACCATAAGCATACTCATTAAAAATTAAATCCTAGCTGAGAATATAAGAGCAAAAAAAAAGGCCCTGTTTTAATGACAGCTAACCAAAAAATATTTAAAGACTATTTATAAAAGCAAGGCACTGGTAATCTTTGGCAAGTTGCTCCTGAATATATCCTCATGCCAGCAAACATCTCAAAATAAGTGAATCTCTTTCTTGGATCACAAAACTATTCACTCACTTTCCTACCAAGCAAAACAGAGGAAAATGCATACTTTACACTTTGAGACAAATGCCTTGTTAAGTCTTTACTTAATTATATGGGGTTATGCAATAAATCTCCATGTGTTAACAACTTGTGGTCCATAATGTAGTCCTCTATTTTCTTCCAGGAAATGGTATTACATTTTTTCTGTGTTCAGCAAGTTTCAAATAAAAAAAAAGGCCTGAGAAAGGAGACTGAGTCAAACTCTAAACAAGGCTGACAAAGGAGAATGAAGCTTGCATAGGAACCTGTGGCCTATAGTTTTGGCTTAAATTGTTATTTGCTGAATTCCTGATTTAAGCAAGTTCTTTCAGGCAGTCCCAGTGGTGCAGCAGTTTAGCACTGCCTACAGCCTGGGGCATGATCATGGAGACCCGGGATTGAGTCTCACGTCGGGCTCCCTGCATGGAGCCCGCTTCTCCCTCTGCCTGTGTATCTCTGCCTCTCTCTCTGTCTCTCTCTCTCGCTCTCTCTGTGTCTCTACGAATAAATAAATTTTTAAAATCTTAAAAAAAAAAATAAGCAAGCTCTTTCACATAATATATACGGGGAAAATGTCACTACATCCTTTACATCTTCAACTATTCAAAGAATACTTTAAAACAAAAATTCTTGTCTTAACATTAAGTCACCATATTCTATCTTGTGTAAATGACCAATATGGGTAAAACTTAATCTTCAATGTGACATTCATTAGGCATATCAGTGAGTTATTCAAATAATGGAGCAGATGGGGCACCTGGGTGACTCATTTGGTTGAGTGGCTAACTCTTGGTTTCTTGGGATCCGGCCATGACTGGCTCCATGCTCAGGGCAAGGTCTGCTTCTCTCCCTCTCCCTCTGCCCCTCCCCCTGCACCTGCACTTATGCGCACGTACACACTCTTTCTCTCTAAAGTGAATAAATAAATCTTTAAAAAATAATAACAGGGAGTCCCGGGTGGCTCAGTGGTTGGGCGCCTGCCTTCAGCTCGGGTCATGATCCCAGGATCTGGGGTCGAGTCCCGCATTGGGCTCCCTTCATGGAGCCTGCTTCTCTCTCTGCCTGTGTCTCTGCCTCTCTCAGTCTGTGTCTCTCATGAATAAATAATAAATAAATAAAAATAAATAATAAATAATAACAATGGAGCAGATAAAAAACCTCAAATCTTAACAAGTACTCACTTTTACACTTTCTTCTGTGTTAAGTTTATTTCCCTTAACCAAGACAATTTGGAAAGGATTGTTATTTTCCCAAACATGCTGCAAAAGAATAAAATAGAGTATTTTAATTAAAGAAATAAATATTATGTACTAGCAATGAAATCATCTTATTGGTTCTCATGTCCACTGACAAAATAATGAAAAAATACCTCTGAACTAACAACTGAAAATCCCATATACTAAATTAAGCATCACAATCACTAGCACTTAGTTCTTATGACAAAACACAGGCAGCATTCCAATACTGTCAAGAAATTCACTAAATTAAACACCATCAACTAAAAGTATTAAAGCTTTGGATGAATTAAGAATAGACCATTTAAATTAATATACAGTGAGTATCTTAATCATCAAGCAGAGAGTAAACATACAACTTGTTGAAACTGAGTAACTATTTAAAAATGTTAACTATTCCAATCAATAAAAAGAAACTTAAGATTTGCTTTATATAAATATAGTACATTCTGGGAAAAAATGTTATCTTTGATACATTTAAATTCTAGGGCAGCCCAGGTGGCTCAGCGGTTTAGCGCCACCTTCAGTCCAGGGCCTGATCCTGGAGATGTGGGATTGAGTCCCATGTTGGGCTCCCTGCATGGAGCCTGCTTCTCCCTCTGCCTGTGTCTCTGCCTTTCTGTCTCATTCTCTCTCTCTCTCTCTCTCTCTCTCTCTCTCTCTCTCTCTATCTCACAAATAAATAAATACAATCTTTAAAAAAATAAAAAAATAAATTCTAAAAGTATTCAATAAGAAGGTATCAAGTTATACTAAATATGCTATCATAGCTAAGCTGACAGAAATGAAATACACTAGAAAATCAACTATGTCTACACATCTAACTTTTCTACTAGAATGTCTCAAATTGCTCACTGAAGTCAGTGTTTAGATGCTATCTCAAGAAATTTCTAATTTGGTGTTATTTTTCTGTGACACAAAAAGAACACTGAAAGCAGAAATAGCATAATTACATTTATATGTAGCTTGAGCTGAGGAAAAAGAATAGTAGCTAGAAAGATAATTACCAATAAATGAAAATGGATTTTTGGCAAATGTACACTGGTTGTCACAGAAGAAGTGAGCAGAGAAAATATGTGAGGCTTAAGCACAATACCTAACAAAAATTAGATGCTTTTTGAGGTTACCAAAGGTTCACATGTGAAACTTACAGAAATAATTCGCATTTTCTTTGGGGGTAAAGGAAGAGGAAAGTTTGATGCATTTCGATTTATGGCAGCCTCTATGGCAATCATTTCCTGTTCATACATCTTCTTAATCTTGCAACATTCCACAAGCATAAAATGGGGCAAAGTCCTGTTCATTACACAGTTCCGGATATACTACAGTGGCAAGAGAGAATAAGGTAAAGACTTCCAAGCAAATACTTAAATTGACAGAAGAATAAAATTCAGATGAACACCACTATGCCAATATACTATGAAAATATATCTTAACAACTCAATGTCAAAAATAAAAGAAATTAAAATCACAACATAAAATTGCTACCATTAATTGAATGTCTAAGACCTAAGAACCAGCTGCTTTTTATATTTGTACCTAATTTTCCTAACAACCCTGTAAAAGTTTAATAGATGAAAGAATTAAAAGTCAGAAGAACTAAATTATATACCTGGCATCTTATAACTGGTATTTTTAAATCTACTTGTACTTCTTTTTTTTTTTTGCTAAACCTTTAAAAAATATGTACCTCAGTCTAGATGTTTTGTCTTCTCTTTGCACTTAGTATCTGATATTTTGATCAATCGGCTTACCTCTCTAGGGGTGGGATTTGAGTGGCAAAGACTGTGATATCACAGTGCAAGCTTTGACCAATCTGTCAGTAAAACTGAACATGCAGTACACATGTGCCATTCTTTACATTCTGAAGTAGTCATCTTAGACTTTCCCATGGATCCCTGAAGCAGACCTGGTCTCTTTACAGCAAAGGGCTCTAGACAACCATTACCATCTCCCTTGCAAAAACATATTGCCCATCTTAGCCTGATGCTCTGTTTTATTTCCATGAGACCAGGATGACTTTCCAAAGGCATATAAGAAAAGGGGTGGTTATTCACATTACCAGGGATGCCCAACAAATCTGAATAGAAAGAAACCTAAGATGTTCCTCAGAAGAATATAAATTTCCTACACAGATTCAGTGTATTATATTCAATTCAGAACCATAAAATACCTTTTTTTTTTAAAGATTTTATTTATTCATGAGAGACACAGGCAGAGGGAAGAGCAGGCTCCATGTAGGGAGCCCAATGTGGGACTCGATCCTGGACCCCGGATCACGCCCTGGGCCAAAGGCAGACACTCAACCACTGAGCCACCAGGAATCCCCACAAAATACTTTATTAAATTAAAAAAAAAATTCCAGAATGGTCTTTAAGTGGGAGTTACATATTATGATAAATATATTCAATCAAAAATTTTCCACTACGAAGTATGTGTCATTCCACTTCCTTCCAATTCCTTTGCCTATATGGTATTATTTCCTCTCTCATGACCTTGTACAAAAATGTATACAAGTCTTTATATTTCTTTATAATAAAAATGCTAGAAAACAAAACAAAAACAAATAAACAAAAAAAAATTCCTAGTTTTGGCAAAATAATATACCCTCCACTAATTAAGGTTAAAACAAAAGTGTTAAGAAGCAGGAGGCTACTTAAAAGATAGCAGAACATAGAGGGTAGAAGCCAGCACTCCTTTATGACCACCAAGTACTTTTCCTCTTCCTTCTTCCTCTCATGGGCTACATACAGTTCAAGCACTTATTGTCAAAATGCCATAGCTCCCAAAGCTGTGCAGAGCAGTTACAATTGCTGCTAGACTTTCTTCCTAGTAAACCACAAAAATTAAAGGCCACACTAAAAATCTGAAAAGGTAAAAAAATCTGCAATTAGCTGTAAATAAAGCACAGCTCCTTATATTCAAACATCACTTAATATTTGGAATATCTCTATCTCTCTTGCTTAAAACAATAAAAATCCAAAAGTAGGAGTAATAACATATTTTTCTAAAATCCCGTTAGTATTTTCTTCTAACTTTGCATTTAGCCTTTATTCTTTATGTAATGACCATTTTTTGGTCTCTAAATATAATTTCAACAAAAATATCTTCAAGTACCTTGAAGGCAAAGCCAGGATCCTATCGTATAAATAGCATACCTCATGGTATTTAAATTCCACTCCAGTTTACTCCAAAAACAATATGAGGCACTATCCTCAAGGAACACATAATTTCATGGAAAAAGGTATGTCGACTAAGATGGAGGAAAGCTTTTGAATATGGTCAGACCTAATTCTTACAAAATTCCTACCAAATATGGAAGTAAGAGACAACAGAAGGAAGGGCAATTACACATATAAATGTTAGACTGAAACTGAAAAGTTTTATAATTCACAATGAAAATTTATAAGACTTTGTTAACTGATAAGCACAAGTTTTAATACAATTTTATTAGTGACCATTTAATAAAAAAAATATTGTATTTTACTTCCCCCAGAATATTTCCTACCTAATTATTATGTTTACACAATAAAATAGTAGGCAGCTATAGCTTATTTTATTCAGAATTCATAGTGCCACAGGAAATGATGATATAACACTGAAACAATCAAAAAAGCAGAAAGGAACCATTTAGATACACACATTAAACATATAATCATTATGCCAAAAATATACATAACTACAAGTAAAACAACCAAGTATGCCAAAATTTTAAGAATGGTTATCTCACAGGGAGGTAGGATCATGAATTTTTGTAGGTTCTAAATACTTGACTATGACAATACATTTTTATCAGAAATGTAAATTCTTAAATACATACACACACACATCTCTGGTAAATTGACAGTTAATACACATACCTGGAATTGAATTAGTGGGTGATCACCAAATACATATTCTACTCTCCCACTGACTTGCAACACATAATCATTGGGGCTAACTTCATCTTCTTTCCCATGAATAGTCAAACGTTTTTGGATTGCCAGTTCATTTATTTTGATAGGATTCATATTAGGAGATATTTGAAAGCTAAACACGTCCTAAAAAGGGAGGTAGAAAAAAAGGAGCAATTTTATAGTTGTGCTGAAAAACCTCACTTTTTAGATGTATACTTATTACTACATCATATATATATATATACGTACATAATACGTACATATATATAAAGTATGTTATATATGCATATCCTTTACATTTAACATTTCAGTACATTTTCCTATTTTCTAAATATAATGTGTCCATGATAAATTTAAGATTTCTGATCATTCGCAAGTTATCTTATGCTACTATACAAAGTGCCACAGATTCCACAGTTAAGATTAATATCTAACTAAAGCATATATTTAGCTAAAATTTACCATCAGAGTTTATCAAATGTATTTCTCAGGGACTATCTTTATTTTCTAAAATATCTTTCTCTGAAAAAGGTACCAAAAAACCTGCGGTGTTCAAATCATACTAAGAATTTTATATTGTCACTATTAAGAAGAGACATATACTTTATACTAATTAAACTATAAATGAACAATTCAGTCCAATTTTATAAACATGTAAAGAAAAACAAAGAAGCTTTAATTAATGAAGATATAGATAGAACAGAGTATTATCAAATCTGCTCACCATAAATCCAAAAAGTACAGATGTTAAAGATTATTTAATAACATCTGAAACATCTCAATCCAGCAAAATAATTTCCCACCATATGATCACACACCAAGGATTTAAGAAAATTCACTGTCTCCTAAAGCAGTCAACTGCTACTCTGGACAAGTGATCGTTAGAAAACTCTGTGTACTGACCAGAGATTGATTCTGCAATATTTCCACCAAGTGAAGTCACTTCCCTTTTCTACAAGGTACTTCAAATTCCAAATTTTTAAACCTAAATTTACTGGGTGTTCCAATCTATTTTCTCTAGTATATTTACCCTTTCCTCCTAATTTCCTGTGTGAGTTGATGCTATATGCATCAAACCATATGAGCCAGGATCCAAAGAGTCATTTGAAAAGTCACATGACTCCACTTTCCTCCCCTCACTTCCCAAAAAGATAGCAATGATCTTATTTCCTTGGGTTGCCAACTGTAACCTCTTCTCCATCTCCACTAACACTCTTCTACTTCAGCAATTCTTCATCTTTCTCCTAAAGAGCAATATAGCGTCTTAATTTCCTTGCACTATCCACCTCAAAACCTTCATCTACCTTAGAAAGTAATCTACCTTTAAAAAAAGAGTCACAAAGAGATGATACTTTTTTAACATAATACAAATGGTCATAACTATCTAAAGCAGTGCTACTCAAGTAAAACTCTTTAAAAATGGAAATATTCTGCTCTGTGCTGTCCAATACAATAGCACTTAGCCACAAATGGTTGAGAAACCTGATATGTGGCTAGTGTGAATAACTGAATTTTAATTTTTCTTAATTTAAATTTAAATGTACATATGTGGCTAGTGGCCACTGTATTTAAAGAGCACAGATGTGAATAATAAGACCTAAGCTCCTTAATACATCATAAAATTATTCTAAGAGTCCCATTTACTATTTCATAAACTTTTTAGAAATACAAAACTCAAGGACACTCTTAGTATCAGATAGTAAGAACCTAAAGAAAGGACCAGAAATCAGAACTGGACTTGAAAAACTCAGATATTAGAAATAATACTCAGGAAAAAAAAAAGAAGACTAGTATAGTTAATGTGTTTTAAGAATTAAAAGCGGAAAAAAAAAAAAAAAGAATTAAAAGCGGGATCCCTGAGTGGCTCAGGGGTTTAGCGCCCTGCCTTTGGCCCAGGGCGTGATCCTGGAGTGACGGGATCGAGTTCTGCATCCGGCTCCTGATTCTCCCTCCTCTGCCTGTGTCTGCTTCTCTTTCTCTGTGTCTCTCATGAATAAAATAAATAAAATCTTAAAAAAATAAATAAATAACACATTATATGTTAATTGATTTTAAATTTTTTTTTTTTTTTTATTTACGATAGTCATACAGAGAGAGAGAGAGAGGCAGAGACACAGGCAGAGGGAGAAGCAGGCTCCATGCACCGGGAGCCCGACGTGGGACTCGATCCCGGGTCTCCAGGATCGCGCCCCGGGCCAAAGGCAGGCGCCAAACCGCTGCGCCACCCAGGGATCCCTGTTAATTGATTTTAAATAAAATTTTAAAAATGAAGTTAAATGAAACTGATTTCTAAATAAATAAATAAAATAGAAAAAACATTCAAAAACTGGTTTTCCAACCTTGATCTAGACTAATACATCATTGCATCTCAAAATCATATATGTGCAAAAGATGTGTCACTTTTGATTATTATACATAATCGTAAATTTATACCCATCTAAAATCTAAAAATTTATACCCATCTAAAATGCTCAGCATTTACCAGCTGAGCAACAGCCTCCTGTACAATTGGTGCTGCATTCGGGTAAAAATCACAAATGTATTACAAAGTATTTCTTGTAATACCTGACAATTTTCAAAATGAACAGCCACAATGAGCTTTCCTCCATAAAGTTTATCTTCTAAGTTTTCAAGGATCGATGGTTCATGTTCTGGTGGATATGTCTGCTTCAGCCAATCCATCCAAGACAATCCCACAAGTGACTGAATCTTTTCCTCACTGAATTTGCGCATTTTTATTCGGAAATCATTCACTTCAGGATCCTTCAGTGCATCAAATTCATGTAGACCTAAACAAATTTTTTTAAAGTGTCATTTTGAGTAGCTAATACAAGAGAATATAAAATATATCCAACCATATATACTGGATATTTTTTATCAAGCAAATAAAACTGGGCAGGAAAATATGAAAGATCAAAAGAATATCCAGATAAAATAACAAATTTCATGTACAGAAGATGAACATATAATTAAGATTTCTAAAAAAGACAAATTTGAAACCTTCATAGAAATGTAGCTTTGAAGAAATGTAATTGGGTACCAGTTTTATAAAGATTATTGCTGAAATAATACACACTTTAAAACCATATATAAAATACCCAGTTTTTTTGGATGCCTGGATGGCTCAGTGGTTGAGCATCTGCCATCAGCTCAGGGTGTGATCCCAGGGTCCTGGGATTGAGTTCCATATCGGGCTCCCCACAGGGAGCCTGCTTCTCTATGTCACACACACAAACTCTCTCTCTCTCTCACGAATAAAAATCTTCAAAAAAAAAAAAATCTAGTTTTTCTTTACAAACCAAGTAAATCACATTTAATATATCTAAGAAAGCCTAAGAATCTGAAAATGTTTAAATTAATGAACTTAAAATATAAGCTATTACCTAAAACTAAGTTTACATTTTATAGATTAAATTTTTGGTTCACTGTGAATTTTCAACAATGGTTATAGTCTATCAATTAGTCAAAAATCTCATAAACATAAAATTATTTATTGTATTTTAACTATGAATCACTTCTACCATCAAGACAACTAAATATAGCAACTGTTTCATAAACTTATCATTATCCTAATAAATAATTCTTGAAATCTACAGCAATAAATGAACATGCAGAAATGTTTATGCCTACATTAACTTTTAACTGTAAAATTGACAAACAGTTTAAAGTTTGGCAATACATTGTGCTAGAAGGCATATATATTTAATACTACAAATTATAAACACACACATAGATTCTTTGATCTCAAAATCCTACCAAGAGGAATTTCAACCTGAGAGACTCTAGTAACAACCAGAAAAGCCAAAGCCAAATATGCACACCCAAATCAATTACATAAGATGCCCAGCTTCTAGTGAGCCCATCTCCAACTTCTCCTTGCGAACAACCTTCCATTAACCATATATAAGGCCTTCCTTCTTTCTTGGTATAAGGCTCTCTCACTCCCCTGCCTGCCTCAGAGACACTGACAAACATGAAGTTCCTTTACTATATAGCAAGCTCTGAGTAAATAGTCTGTTCTCATTTGGGTGGTCTTTATTTCCACAAACCTATGGAAGTACTTGTACATTATTTGTTACAACGTACTGATAACAGTTCAAGAATGCTCACTGTAGTTTTGTTTATAATAATTTGAAAACTGAAAATAAAGTTAATCATTAAGATCTAGTTTAAAGACTGAAATACATCCATATATTATTTTACAGTAGTATAAGTGATAAAATGAATAGACAGGGTTGATGGTGTTATGTTAGCCCCAGATATATTAAAAGTAAAAAGAAGGGGACGCCGGGGTGGCTCAGCGGTTGAGCATCTCCCTTCAGCTCAGGGCATGACCCTGGAGACCCGGGGTCGAGTCCCACATTGGGTTCCCTGCATGGGGACTGCTTCTCCCTCTGCCTGTGTCTCTGTCCCTCTCTCTATGTCTCTCATGAATAAATAAATAAAATCTTAAAAAAAAAAAAAAAGTAAAAAGAAGAAACAAAATGAGTCTTGCAAGATTCCTTTTATGCAAATTCAAAAGAAACTATAGAATACGTATAAATTTTTGTTTTGGAACAGTACCTGAGATGACAACATAAAAGTTTTTCAAAGTGTTGAGAAGAGAAATACAGTGCAGCGGCCTGTTTTTGCTTTTGTTTTTTTTAAGATTTTATTTATTTATTCATGAGAGACAGAGGTGGGGGTGGGGAGGTAGAGACACACGCAGAGGGAGAAGTAGGCTCCACGCAGGGAGCCCGATATGGGACTGGATCCTTAATCTCCAGGATCAGGCCCTGGGCTGAAGGCGGCACTAAACCGCTGAGCCACCCGGGCTGCCCAGCCTGTTAATTTTAAGGCCATTTAATACCGTATCATTTGACTCCATACTATTTAAACATATACATGTCAATGAGAGTCATCTAGACAGCAGACTTATACCTCCATTGTCTATTTCCTTTTATATATTAAACCAATTATTATTTCAAAAATAAATATTAAAGGAGTGCCTGGGTGTCACAGTCTATCAAGCATCTAGCTCTTGGTTTCAGCTCAAATCATGATCTCAGGGTACTGAGATCAAGCTCCACGTCCACCTCCACACTTAGCACTGACTCTGCCTTAAGACACTTTCTCCCTCTCACTCTGCCACTACCCCTCAAATAAATTAAAATCTTTAATAAATAAATAAATATTAGAATAAACTGTGGCATTAAATATAGAAAAGTAAAAATGTTTGAGTTGTTTAACACAGCAAAGGTAAAATCTTAAAAGTACATTATGATTTCCTGGATAGTCCTAGATCTGGAATGGAAATGCATACTCTAAATGAGCTATGAAGGGACTGTAATTTATGCAGACTACCTACAGCATTTTGAAGCTTCTTTCCCAGCATTGTTGAAACTATTTCTACCCATGGATATAGGCATTACAGGTAAAAAAAGAAAATGAGTACCTAATACATTTAACAAAAATCAAACTCTTTCTTTTCCTTTATCTATTAAAAGTCATGTCTAATCCACTTTCTAATGTCTCTCAACTCTGTCCACTTTCAGTTCCTATAGCCATTAACTTAATCCTGGCCATCACCATCCCTCACTTGGGATTACAACAACAGTTTTCACTAATTTCTCTAATCCCAGTCTTAATCTCTCTGATCTACTCTCCATTTTTTAATTTGAATAATCTTTATATAATGCAATCTGATTGTGTTACTCCCCTACTTAAATCCCTGCAAAGAGGGGTGCCTGGGTGGCTCAGTGGTTGAGCATCTGCCTTTGGCTCAGGTCATGATCCCCGGGGTTCTGGGATCGAGTCCCACATCGGGCTCCCTGAGGGGAACCTGCTTCTCCCTCTCCCTCTCTCTGTGTCTCTCATGAAAAAATTTAAAAAATTAAAACAAAAAAATCGTTAAAAAATAAAAATAAAAAAATAAATTCCTGCGAGGGTGACTGGGTGTCTCAACTGATTAAGCGTCTGCCTGAGCTAAAGCTCAGGTCATAATCTCAAGGTCCTTGGGATTGAGTCCCACATCAGGCTTCCAGCTCAGCAAGGAGTCTGCAACCTCTACCCCAACCCCTGCTCATGCTTCTTCACTCTCTCTCTCAAAAATAAAATCTTTTTTTTTTTAATTTTTTTTTTTAAATTTATTTATGACAGTCACAGAGAGAGAAGGAGAGAGAGGCAGAAACACAGGCAGATGGAGAAGCAGGCTCCATGCACCGGGAGCCCGACGTGGGATTCGATCCCGGGTCTCCAGGATCGCGCCCTGGGCCAAAGGCAGGCGCCAAACCGCTGCGCCACCCAGGGATCCCAAAAATAAATAAAATCTTAAAAAAAAAAAAAAATCATCCCTTCGATAGCTTTCTAATTGCTTTTAGGAATAAGTCTCTAATTTTTAAAACAGCCTCAATGGTTCCATCTGCTCTGAGGCTGGTTGCCTCTCTCGTCTTCTTGCTTTTCCTAGCTGTCCATTTGTTTACACAAACTATAGTCAATTACTTTTATTCCTCAAATAGGCCATTCTTCACACATGCCTTTCTCACTTGATTACCCTTCTTCCAACTCCTACTTGATCAACTCCTAATCAGCACTGAAGGCTCAGTTTAGTTGTGTGTTTTCTATAAAGCCATCTCAATCTCTCAGTTGATTTTACTCCTTGACCTATAGCAGTATACACATTAAATTGTAATTGTCTATTTACTGATCCATATTTCCCACTGGATTGTGAGCTCCCATCAGACAAAAAACAAAGTTCACCCAAGTTCACTGCTGCGGTGCCTATTAAAAACACTCAATATATACTGTTGAATTGCAATTGCTACTGTTTAGGTAATTTTTTCAATATATTATAAATATGGAACTCTGTTCACGTAACTGTTAGAATAAACTGAAAAGTACAGAGTTCTTAAATTCATCCCAGACTCACTGAATCCCAATCTCTGAGAATCTGCCTTTTTTTTTTTTTAAAGATTTTATTTATTTGTTCATGAGAGAGAAGCAGAGACACAGGCAGAGGGAGAAGCAGGCTCCTCATAAGGAGCCCGATGCGGGACTCGATCCCAGACCAGGATCACGCCCTGAGCTGAAGACAGACACTCAACTGCTGAGCCACCCAAGCGTCCCGAGAATCTGCTTTTTTTAAAAAAAAAAAAAAAAAAAGCTTGAGATTAGAAACCACTACAAGATTTCTTAAAAATAGAAACTTTGCCAAAAATAAGAAATTAGGGGGGTGCCTGGCTGGCTCAGTCAGAAGAGCATGCAACTCTTGATCTCTGGATTCTAAGTTCAAGTGCCACGGTGGATGTAGAGATCACTTTTTAAAAAAGAAATTAGAGCCAGCCCGGGTGGCTCAGCGGTTTAGCGCTGCCTTCAGCCAGTGTGTGGTCCTGGAGACCCGGGATTGACCTGGTCTGACCACGTCAGGCTGCCTGCATGGAGCCTGCTTCTCCCTCTGCCTGTGTCTCTGCCTCTCTCTCTCTCTCTCTCTCTCGTTCTGTCTCTCATGAATAAATAAATTAGTCTTTAAAAAAAAAGAAAAAAGAAAAAAGAAAAGAAATTAGGTTAAGTAACTTAATTGTAAACCTAGTTAATTTCTTACAGGTGTTCTGGTAAGAAAATCTGAAAGCAAATCTTAAATTTTAAGATAAAAATATTATATAGTTTATAGATAAATATGATTTTTTTAAAGTAGTCTCCCAGCCCAACATGGAGCTCAACTTGGGTCTTGAACTAACAACCCAGAGATCAAGACCTGAGCTGAGAATAAGAGGTAGATACTTAACTGACTGAGCACCCAGGTGCCCCAAATAAAATCTTTTCATAAAAAGAGTATAAAGTGAGTAATTTCTTCACATTAAAGATACTGTTAAAATCCTGCAGACTCTGTATTTCCTTCACTTTAAAATATACCACAAATTTAGATAAGTCAGGGAAAATATAAGGGAGTTGTCAAAAATTATTTTTCAAGATGCTGACAAAATCCTCTGATCAAGATTTACTAATGGGTATCTGAAGGGATGACCTTCACTATAGAATATAATCAGAGCTCAAATAGCAGCTCTGTAAATAATTATTTAGAACATAAAAAATAAAATGATCAGACAAATTATCATTCAGGAAAAGGTATTTTTAGACCCACCAGGGCAGTTATATCTGTAAAGGTTCTATTGTTTTCTTTGGGGCGGAGGAGGCAGCAAACTTGTTCCTAAAGTTAAATTGAAATAATTGTTTATTGTCTTACCAGGACACATGACCTCACCAAACCCCGGTTGTAGTCACCACATACAAATTAGCAACCGCAAAAATTGACTTGTTAGGTACTTAAAGTGAAAATTCATTCTAAAATACTAAAACAGACTTACTTAAAATAAATAAAATAAATAAAAAAAATAAAACAGACTTACTCAACTTCCTAAGTGAATGTTAACACGTGAATCTGTGTATATGATCAACAACAGGTTTTCTAAATTCACTGAAAATCTGAAGTACAATTTATAAATAGTTAAAGAGTTTATAAACTGTTCAATTGAATATAAAACACTCCTTGCACGTTGATCATTCAAATTGCAGGCACATTGCATTGAAAATTTTTATATAATAAACTTTATGATACAGAATGAAATTACATCACACTGCTTATGAAAAATTCAATTTATATATGTATATATGTATGATCCCAGCATTGTCACCAAATAAAAAAACAGCATGCCTAATTCAATTTGAATTTTATATAAATGATGAATGATTTTTATCCCATGTATATCCCTTTTATATGGGATTTAAGTATATCCCATGTAATATTTGCGTCTAGTATATTTTTATTTGCTAAATCTAGCAAGCTCATGTAGAGGTAATAGTGGCTAACAAGACCATATTTATTGGAGATCACAACTAGAACATGTTGCAGTGATCTAAGTTTTGAAAACATGGCATATCTCAAAAAGACACCCATATCCTGACAAAAGTTAGCTCTCCCTGTGATGCTAACCTTTTGGTTTATCAAATATTTTACTTTAACAATCAGTGTGGTTCTGGTCTACTTCCTTCCATCCAGCATAGAAACATATAAAAGCTACATATTTTCATACATACAAAGTCATTAGGAAAGAACTATATCTCAATATGGTTCAGTAGATATTCTTGTCTTGGATAAGATTATAAGTGATTACTCTTTTTACTTTTTTATATATTCTTCAATTCAAACAAAGAAGAGACTTTTTGTAATGAAGAATTTAAAATTTATCAAGAAATCCTTGAAGCTCTAGCAATAAAAAGGGATGCTTTCTAATGAGGCCATGAATACATAAGAAAACTGTGGGGGCTCCTGGTTGGTTCAGTCAGTGGAGCATGTGACTCTTGATCTCAGGGCTGTGAGTTCAAGCCCCACACTGGGTCTGCAGAGTACTTAAAAATAAAAAATCAAAATCTTAAAGAACAAAAAAGAAAGAAAATCTTGTATGGTAAATAATTATAAACCTATTAAAGGGGGAAAATTATTACCTAAGCAAACTAGCTATCCTCTGAAGTAATCAAACTTTCTTAAACACTAGGTTGTCTAGGCACCTGGATGGCTCAATTGGTTAAGCATCTGACTCTTGATCCACCTCAGGTCTTGATCTTAGGGTAGTGAGTTCAAGTCCGATATTGGGCTCCATTCTGGGCATGGAGGTTCTGCTCTAAGTACTCAAAGGGAAGAACGTAGCCCCACATTTGTAATCATTAGTTAGCCCAAATCACAATACGTCAAGATCAAGAACGCAATCTGACAGGGCATGGTTCTTGGAGAGGATGCTACTATGTCATCTTGTGAATACTTATAATATTAAATTGAGTGGTAACATATTATCCTAGAAGAGTGAATTTAATTAATGCAAGGGGCCAATCCAAACCCAAAAATTTCCAGTGGATTGTTTGGTTTTGTATTTAAACTTCAAGTCTCTAAAATAAAATAAAAACAACACAAAACTGCTACTTCAAAATAAATAAATAAACTTCAAGTCTCCTCTGCAGTAAACCTCTTGTAGTACTTAATTCTAGTATCTTGTCTAAAGCAGGATATTGATCAGGATGCCTGGGTGGCTCAATGGCTGCGTATCTGCCTTCAGCTCAGGGGGTGATCCTGGAGTCCCACGATCAAGTCCCACATGGGGCTCCCCTGGAGAAGCCGGCTTCTCCCTCTACCTCTATGTCTCTGCCCTCTCATGAATAAATATATAAAATCTTTTTTTTAATCTTTAATCTTTTTTTTTTAAGATTGTATTTATTTATTCATGAGAGACAGAGAGAAAGAGAGGCAGAGACACAGGCAGAAGGAGAAGCAGGCTCCATGCAGGGAGCCCAACACGGGACTCGATCCTGGATCTCCAGGATCAGGCCCAGGGCTGAAGGCAGCGCTAAACCGCTGACCCACCTGGGCTGCCCAATAAATAAAATCTTTAAAAAAATAAAATAAAGGAGGATACTGATCTACCACTGGCCCCTGTTACATCCACGATTATTATAGCAAGAGAGGCTCTACCATATTTTCTTGGTTACAATTCTCTCTGGAACTAATTTGCAAAGAATAACATGGACATATATCTTGACTCACTACAGAAGTATCTCTACTTAAAGATAATTTTAGTTAAGGAGTACAATTTGTCAATAATTTGGATTATTTATAGAAATTTTTCAATCAGCTTTGAGTCTTGGTATAGTCATATATAAATTGTGTGTATACAGTAGAGGTAATTCAAAAGAAATGGAGGATTATCTCTAAGAAAAGGGTTTCTCAAACTGAGACAAAGGGACAACTCTTTTCTTTCCAATATGCCAAAAGACAATACTTTGGCAAATAAAAATAAGTCACTAGAAAAAGAATAAAAAACATAACCCATGGGACACTATGGTAATATCACATTGCTATGGGAATTTATAAACATTTACTCTCAATTTTTATACTTATCTCAGACTGTTTATCAATTTACAAATAAGCATTGGTCCTCGGATCACACTCTGAAAAGCAATGTCTTCGATCATACCTACAATATGTTTATACATATAACAACAAATGTGTTAAGAATTCATACAGAGAAGTTTTTATTACCTTTTCCTATAAGGACTCCAATTTTTGAGTCTAATTTTTCCCCTGGGTCACAACTTCTTGTCACTAATTTGAGAACTGGAAGAAAAGGTCTGACATCACAGAGTCTTCTTGTTTCATCTTCAAGCTCCTCATATACAGCAGTTTGATTCACACATGCAAACATATAGGAGTCAATTTCCATAAGGAGGTTAAACATTGGATAATTGTGAACTTGTTTCCATAAAATCTGCAGGAAAAAATAAGAGACCTTCTGGAACAGAAAAATTTGTTCAAGCATACAAAGATACACCTACAAGGATACTCACTGTGGAACTCTTTATAAAACTCAAAAAGAAAGGACAAGCCAAATGTCTAGCAATAAAGGATTGGCTAAATCAATTATAAAGTATTACACATCTGTGAAAATAAAATAAAAATACTCGATAAAATGGAAAATTAAGATATATTAAAAGTTTTTTAAAACACCAACTTACAAGAGAATATTAACCCATTTTTGTAAATGATAGTATAATGCACAAAAAACTGCACTTATGTAAACAAAGTTATTAAGTGACTATCTGCCAGACTGATCAAGAAAGAGAGGGCTCAAAATCAGAAATGAAAGAGAAGTTACAATCGATATCACAGAAATACAAAGGACTTAAAGAGACTACCATAAAAAGTTATATGCCAACAAACTGGAAAACCAAAAGAAATGGATAAATTCCTGGAAACATAGAATCTTCCAAGACTGAATCAGAAAGAAGCGAAGGAGGGAGGGAGGGAGGGAGGGAGGGAGGGAGGGAGGGAGGGAGGGAGGGAAGGAAGGAAGGAAGGAAGGAAGGAAGGAAGGAAGGAAGGAAGGAAGGAAGGAAGGAGATACTCTGAACAGAAGTTACCAGTAACGAAACTGAAACAGTAATTTAAAAAACTAACAATAAAAGGTCTAGAAACAGATGGCTTCATTGGTGAATTCCATCAAATATTCAAAAAAAAAAAAAAAAGAAAGAAAGAAAGATAATCACAGTACCTGGGTGGCTCAGTCAGCTAAGTATCCAATTATTTTGGCTCAGGTCATGATCTCAGTGTCATGAGACTAAGGCCTAACACAGGTTCCTCGCTGAGCATGGAGCCTGCTTAAGATTCTCTATCTCCTCCCTCTCGCTCTCCCTCCACCCCTCTCTATCTCTAGGGGGGAAAAAAGAATCCTTTTCTTTTTTTTCAAAGATTTCATTTCTATATTTATTTGAGAGAGAAAAGCATGTATATGTACAGCACAGGGAGAGGAAGAGACTCTCAAGCAGACTCATGTTGAATGAGGGACCCGACCTGGGGCTCTATCTCACGACCCTGAGATCATAACCTGAGCCGAAAATTAAGAGTCAGAAACCTAACTGACTGAGCCACCTAGGCACCCCTCAATCCTTTTCATACTCATCCAAAAAATAGAAGGGGCTAGCAATGCTTCCAAATTTATTCTACAAGGCCAGCATTACTCTGATACCAAAACCAAAGACACTACAAAAAAAAAAAAAATTACATACCAAAATCCCCGACAAACATAGGTGCAAAAATCTTCAACAAAATATTAGCAATGCAAATTCAAAAAGACATTAAAAGGATCATTCACCACAATCAGGTGGGAATTATTTCATGAATGCAAAGATGGTTCATTATCCACAATTTAACCAACATGATATGCCTCATTTATAAAATTAAAGATAAAAACCATCAATCATCTCAGTAGATGTAGAAAAGGACTTGACAAATTCAACATTCATTCATTATAAAAACTCAAAAAGGTAGGAATAGAGAAAATACACTTCAACATAATAAAGCCATATATAACAAACCCATGGCTAACATCTTAGTTAACAGTGAAAAGCTGAAAGCTTTACCTCTAAGATCACTTACAAGACAAAACCGTCTACTCCCATCACCTTCATTCAACACACAGAACTGGAAAACCCAGTAGTAGCAATCAAACAAAAAGAAAAAGCATCCAAATCACTAAAGAAGTAAAATTGTCACTACTTGCAGAAGACATGATACTATATATTAAAAAAACCCTAAAGAGTCCACAAAAAACTTTCAGAATAAAGAATTCCCTAAAGTTACAGAATACAAAACTAATATATAAAAATCTATTGTTCCTATACACTAACAGAGAAATTAAAACAATGCCATTTATTAAGTATATAAAAAAAAACTAGTCTTACTTACTAAGTAAGTCAGAGAAAGACAAATACCTTATGAATTCACTTATATACAGAATCTAAAACACAAACATGAACTTTTTCCAGTTTGATACTGCCAGATTTGAATTGATTTTTTTGTTCCAATAAACTCTTCAAATTTAAAAAATAAATAAAAATAAATAAAATAAAAATAAAAACTAAATAAATAAACAATAAAAATATATAAAAACAAAAACAGAAACAGATTAATAAACACAAAAAACAAACTGGTGGTTGCCAGAGGGGACAAAGTGGGGAGAAGGGGAAAATAGGTGAAGGGGATTAGGAGGTCAAAATATCAGTCATAAAATAAATAAGTCATGGAAATGAAAAGCACAGCAGGAAGAATACAGTCAATAATCTTGCAATAGGGACTCCAGGGTGGCTCAGCAGTTGAGTGTCTGCCTTTGGTTCAGGGTGTGATCCCGGAGTTCCGGGATCAAGTCCCACATCAGGCTCCCTGTGTGAGGCACCTGCTTCTCCATCCCCCTATGTCTGCCTTCTCTCTGTGTCTCTCATGAATAATTAACCAAAATTTAAAAATAATAATAATAATCTTGCAATAACTTTGTATGGTGACAGATGATAATTACACCTATCATGGTGAGCATTTGATAATGTATGTAACTGTTGAATCACTAGAGTTTCTACACCTGAAAGTAATGTAATTATGTCGACTCCATTTCAATTTTTCTAAAAAGTGAGTATCTATGAAGATGTCCATATTTACCACTCTTTTTTGTTGTGTCTTTTTAAGATTTTTATTTACTTGACAGAGAGAGAAAAGACAGTACATGTGCACAAGCACGAGGAGCAGCGGGGAGAAAGTGAGAAGCAGGCTCTCCACTGAGCAGGAAGCCTGACTTAGGGCTTGATCCCAGGATCCTGAGACACTCAACCAACTAAGCCACCCAAGCACCCCCATATTTACTATTCTTATGAACATAAATAACTTCTAATCAGAAAAAAAATAGAAAATTCAAAGTATGTATTATCACCCCCATACAAAATTTAAATTATTTTTTCTGCATTCTAGTCTATTCTATTCATCAGGTTATCTTCATTAATTCACACTGCCCTATCAAGATAAGCAGAATCACTCTCTTATCATCTTCTCCCAAGTTTCCTCAATAAGGTCATATAAAAGAAAATCATCATAGAAATGGCAAGGGGAATTACAAATTTTAACTGCAGCTAGCACAAAAACCAAGAATTGAAAATAATAGACCTGGAGTAAAAATCACAGATAATCCTCAGATTCAGTTATATACTGGAGAAAGTGCTGCTGGGCAACAATAGAAAAAATAGGGAAAAAAAAGGATTTCATCAAAACTTTTAAAATTTTATACATCAAAGGACACTACTGTGAGAGTGAAAAGGCAACCCAAAGAATGGGAGGAAATGTTTGCCAATTATATTTCTGAAAAGAGACTAATATACAGGATATATGAAGAACTCCTGTGACTCAGCAACAAAAAGTAAACAATTAAATTTTAAAATGTCCAATGGTCTTGAACAGAAAAGTCTACAAATGGTCAATAAGAACATGAAAAGAGGGACGCCTGGGTGGCTCAGTGGTTGAGCGTCTGCCTTTGGCTCAGGGCATGATCCCAGAGGTCCTGGGATCGAGTCCTACTTCGGGCTCCCTGTATGGAGCCTGATTCTCCCTCTGCCTGTGTCTCTGCCTCTGTATGTATCTCTCATGAATAAATAAGTAAAATCTTAAAAAAAAAAAAAAAAAAAAAAACATGAAAAGCTGCTTGACATTAGTCATTAAGGAAATACAAATAAATACTGCATATGATACCATTTCACAGCCATAAAAATGGTGATAGAAAACAAACAACAAAAACAGAAAATAACAAGTGTTAGCCAGGCTGTGGAGAGACTAGAACCCCCATGTATTGCTGAATAGGAATGAAAAATGGCTGCTTCTCCCTCTGCCTGTGTCTCTGCCTCTCTCTCTCTCTGTGTCTCTCATGAATAAATAAATAAATAAAATCTTAAAAAAAAATACTTTAAAAAAAAAAAAAGGAATGAAAAATGGTAACACCACTGTGGAAAACAGTTTGGCAATTCTTTAAAAATTAAAACAGAATTACCATATGATATAAAAATTCCTCTTCCAAATACCCAAAAAAATTGAAAGCAGGACTCAAACAAATACCTGTACATCAATGTACATCATAGCCATTATTCATAGTATTACTCACAATAGCCAAATCATATGCCCTGATTTTCATATTGGATTCAGCTATTTGAAAAATGTTAAAAAAAAGTTTAGAAAAATAATTTCATTTACATTTCATAGTACTCACAAATCAATATCACTCATCAATTCACTTTAAAAAATAATCCAACAAAACAAGCAAGCCTTGCTATGTAAAAAAGTTACTTCCAAATTGATGATTTGAGGGGGATGGGTGAAATAGGTGATGGGAATTAAGAAGGGCAGAGTGCACTTGTAGTGACGAGCACAGGGTGTTGTACGCAAGTGTTGAATCACTATACTGTACACTTGAAACTAATATTACACTGCATATTGACTAACAGGAATTTAAATTAAAAACTTAAAAAAAAAGGGTAGCCCAGGTGGCTCAGCTTCAGCCCAGGGCGTGATCCTGCAGATGGAGACCCAGGATCGAGTCCCACATTGGGCTCCCTGCATGGAGCCTGCTTCTCCCTTTGCCTGTGTCTCTACCTCTCTCTCTCTGTATCTCTCATGAATAAATAAATAAAATCTTTTAAAAATAATATAATAAAAACTTAAAAAAAAAAAAGAATTTGCTTCCAAAGGAAGGCATGCTACTTATGACTGGGGGAAACCTTTCTTCCCCATAGTTACCATGAAAAGTCAGCGTAGGGAGGAAGGAAAAGGAGAGAAAAGACAATCAACCAAAAGTCACATACAGAAAAATTAAGACAAGTTCAAAGATAGTAATTAAAAAGATTTTAACTCAAAACTTCCTTGGTAATGTCAAATTCCTTTAAGCAGCCTGAACAAACGTTTCAAACTAACATAGGTTAATTTTTCTTAAATCACATATCACACATTGTTTAAAGTAAGAGTGAGAATTATCTTTTATATATCTACGAAAGACCAAACATGTATCAAAGTCTTTAAAATCAGTGACCTAAAGATTAATTTTTAGGTCACATTAATAACATTTCTATAGAATATAGTCACATTAATAACATTTTCTCTTTTTTTGTAATATTTTTTATAATAGAGTATCATCCCCTAAGTGAAAAAGTAAATAAGCTACATTTATAAAAATTCTACCAATTACATACCTGCTTAATATAGGAAATGGTAGCTTCCCGAGGAACCTCCAACTGAATATATATCCCAGTGGGCAAAAGGAAATCCACAGGTATGGAGCCATCAGATGCTAACTGTGAATCCACTGCCCAGATGTCAAGGATGTCTGCCATAGCAGGAGGCATTATGATATTGAAGCACATTCATAACCATGGGGCCCTAGAAAGTATTAAGTAAAACTTAGTGAACCCGAAAATGAGCCAAATTCTTATACTAAAATATCATAAAGCCCACCAATCCATAATAAGTCACTGGATTTCAATATAGCAAATAATGTAACAGTTGACTAATTAAAGATTAAGCCACCAGAAATAAATTGTTGTTTAAAAACACTTTTGGTTATCATTCCATACATTATATACATAAACACACCACACTGACTCAAATCAACAAAAGTACATCATGTGAAAAAGAAGATCTGCTGTACTCATTCCCTGTTATAATCCAGAATAAGACCTGGAAGATTGTTGAAGGTCTCACTATTAATGATTTCTCCCGTGAGAAGATGGATCTAACTGCAAAGGAACTGGCAGAAGAAAAAGAAACTGCCTTTGAGTTTCTTTCTTCTGCCTGACTAGCCCATCATTTTGATGTTACTAAAGGCTCCAAAATTGAAGAATCTAAATGTCGTCTTTGACTCTAGTACAAATGACAATAATGCTGTACTTAAATTACTTGTGAAAAATGACACGTTTGAAGGAGTATCTGCTTCTTGGTATAAATTTGGGATGGTTTATCATGCTGTTAGTGCTGCATTCTAAATAAAATATATATTGAAATGAAAAATAAAATAAAATAAAATAAAACACAAGGAAGCAAATGAAAATGAAAGCACAACAGCCCAAAACCTTTCGGATGCAGCAAAAGCAGTCCTAAAAGGTAAGTATATTATATTACAGGCCTAACTCAAGAAGCAAGAAAAGTCTCAAATACACAACCTTACCTTGCACCTAAAGGAGCTAGAAAAGGAACAGCAAATAAAGCCTAAAGCCAGTATAATGGAACTTATAAAGATTAGAGCAGAAATAAGTAATATAGAAAAAGAACAGATTAATGAAACTAAGAGCTGGTTCTTTGAAAATATATAATAAACATCTAGCCAGGGGAATCCCTGGGTGGCTCAGCGGTTAAGTGCCTGCCTTCGGCCCAGGGTGTGATCCTGGAGACCCGGATTGAGTCCCACATCGGGCTCCCTGCAAGGAGCCTGCTTCTCCCTCTGCCTGTGTCTCTGCCTCTCTCTCTTTGTGTCTCTCATGAATAAATAAATAAAATCTTTAAAAATATATAAAATAAAATAAAATAAAATAAAATAAAATAAAATAAAATAAAATAAAATAAACATCTAGCCAGATATATCAAAAAGAAAAGAGGAAGGACACAAATAGATAAAATCATGAATGACTAGGAGATCACAACCAATATCACAGAAATACAAACAATTATAATACTATTAAAAATTATATGCAAACAAACTGGGTAACCTGGAAGAAATGGACAAATTCCTAGAAACTTACAAACTGTCAAAACTGGGACAGAAAGAAATAGAAAATTTGAATAGACCCATAACCAGCAAAGAAATTTAATGAGTAGTCAAAAATCTCCCAACAAACAAAAGCCCTGGGCTAGTGGCTTCCCAAGGGAATTCTACCTTTTTTTTTTTAACCAGACATTTTAAAAAGAGTTAAAAAGAGTTAAGAGTTTCTTTTTTAAACTTCCAAAAAATAGAAATGGAAGAAAAATTTCCAAACTCATTCTACAAAGCCAGCATTACTTTGATTCCAAAACTAAAGACCCCACTTAATAAAGGAGAACTATAGGCCAATATCCCTGATGAACATGGATGCAAAAATTCTCAACAAAATACTAGCAAATCAAATTCAACAGTACATTAAAAGAATTCACCTCAATCAAGTGGGATTTATTCCTGGACTGCAGGGATGGTTCAATATTTGCAAATTCATCATTGTGATACATGATATTAATAGAAGGATAAAAACCATATGATCCTGTCAATAGATGTAGAAAAAGCATTTGACAAAATACAGCATACTTTCCTGATAAAAACCCTCAACAAAGTGGGTATAGATAGAACATACCTCAACAGCATAACGGCTATATATGAAAGAAAGATCCACAGCTAATATTACCCTCAATGGGAAGAAACTGAGAGCCTTTCCCCTATCGTCAGAAATAAGACAAGGATGTCCACTCTCACCATTACTATTTAACTGAGTCCAATAAACTCTTGATTGCCTCAGCAATCAAACTACAAAAAGAAATAAAAGGCACCCAAATTTGCAAAGAAGTCAAACTTTCACTATTTGCCAATGAAATGATACTCTACATAGAAAACCAGAAAAAGACTCTACCAAAAAACTGCTAGAACTCATACATAAATTTAGCAAAACCCAAGGATATAAAGGCAATGCGCAGAAATGTGTTGCATTTCTATACACTAATAATAAAGCAGCAGAAAAAGAATTCAAGGAATTGATCTCATTTGCAATTGCATCAAAACCAGTAAGATACCTAGGAAGAAATCTAACTAAGTAAAAGATGTGTACTATGAAAACCATAGAGCACTTATAAAAGAAATTGAAGAGGACACAAGTAAATGGAAAAGCACTGTATGCTCAGGGACTGGAAGGATAAACCTTGTTAAAATATTTATACACAGGGCAGCCCTCCTGCATGGAGCTCCCTGCTTCTCTCTCTGCCTCTCTCTCTCTCTCTCATGAATAAATAAATAACATCTTTTTAAAAAAATATTTAAACACAAAGCAATCTACACATTTAATGCAATCCTCATCAAAATACCACCAGCAGGGCAGCCCTGGAGGCGCAGCGGTTTAGTGCCGCCTGCAGCCCGGGGTGTGATCCTGGAGACCCAGGATTGAGTCCCACGTCAGGCTCCCTCTGCCTGTGTCTCTGTCTCTGTCTCTGTCTCTCTCTCTCTCTCTCTCTCTCTCTCTCTGTGTGTGTGTGTGTGTGTGTCTCTCGTGAATAAATAAATAAAATCTTGAAAAAAAAATACCACCAGCACCTTTCACAGAGCTAGAACAATTCTAAAATTTGCATGTAACTACAAAAGACCCCCAGTAGCCAAAGCAATTCTGAAAAAGAAAAACCAAAGGCATCATGATTCTGGATTTCAAGCTATATTACAAAGCTGTAGTCAACAAGACAGTATGATACTGGCACAAAAAGAGGCACATAGATCAATGGAACAGAACAGAGAATCCAGAAATGGACCCACAACTGTATGATCAACCAATCTTCAATGAAGCAAGAAAGAATATCCAATGGAAAAAAGACAGTCTCTTCAATAAATGGTATTGGGAAAACTAGACAGCAACATGCAGAAGAATGAAACTAGTCCACTTTATTACACCATACACAAAAATAAATTCAAAATGGTTGAAAGACTTTAGAGTGAGACAGGAAACCATCAAAATACTAGAGGAGAATACAAGTAGAAACCTCTCTGACCTCGGCTGTAGCAACTACTTACTGAACATGTCACCAGAGGCAAGGGAAACAAAAGTAAAAATGAACTATTAGGACTTTATCAAGACAAAAAAAACTTCTGCACAGTCAAGGAAACAATCAACAAAAATGGGAGAAGATATTTGTAAACAACATATCTTATAAAAGGTTAGTATCCAAAAACTATAAAGAACTTACAAATTCAATACCCAAAAAACAACCCAGTTAAGAAACAGGCAGTAGACAATGATAGACACTTTGCCAAAGACATCCAGATGTTTAACAGACACATAAAGAGATGCTCAATATCACTCATCATCAGGGAAATAAAAATCAAAACCAGGACAAGATACTATCTCACACTTGTCAAAATGGCTAAAATTAATGCAAGAAACAACAGGTGTTGATGAGGATGGGAGAAACTGCACTGCCTGAACATTGCAGCATTTACTGATTCCTCTCTACTAACTCGTATACATCTTATACTCTGGACCCATTTAATGGACACTAATACAGACCCTGAATCTTTCTCATGTGGCAGCCTTGTTTCTGTGTAGGAAGAGCAGTGCACTACTGAAAGACTGTGGTTTCAGAATCCAACAGCTTACTTGTGAGAGCTGGTACCATCTCTAACTGGCTGAAAGATCTTTAGCAAGTCACGTTATCTTCTCCCTACTTAAATTCCCTTGTCTGTGAAATGATGAGATCAACAGTAACTACTTTAGAGCATAATTATAAAAACTGAAGATAGAACACCTGGAACTTAGTAAAGACAATAAAAAAATTCCCTGTTTTTTATTTTTATTCAAAAGCCCTAAGTTCGGGACACCTAAGTGGCTCAGTAAGTTAAGCACCTGCCTTTGGCTCAGGTCATGAGCTCCCTTCAGGTCCTTTCCTGGGATAGGGCTCCTTGCTCAGTGGGGAGTCTGCTTTTTCCTCTGCCCCTCCCTACTGTTCATTCATATTCTCCACCCCACCCCACCCCACCCCACCCCGCATATAAATAAAATCTTTGAAAAAAAGAAAAAAGGCCTAAGTTCTTTTGAGCTCTGAGTTATATATTTTCAACTACTTTCATTTACCTAAAACTGACTAGCACACAGTAGCCATTTAGTAACTGTTTAACGTATGACAAAATATTATCCCTACTCCTACAATTAAAAAAAAAAAAGCTCACAGGATAACAATAAAATCTAAAACAGCTAAAGGTGACTTTTTACTCTGTGTCACCATTCTAGGAACTTCTTTACATGCAATTCTAGATTTTATCCTTCCTACCACCTCTACCACCTTATGGTAACACTGCTATTCCTTGAGGAACATAAACAGGTTAAGATCTCAAAACCACCAAGTGGCAGTCCTGGGATTTGAACTTGGGTCTAACTCTAAAGTGTGAGCCTTACACCACCTTCTGCATAATAACCATTAAAATACCAGAAAAAAGTTTGAGACATTTAATCATAATCACATTATGTTAACTATAAGCTCCTTGAGAGCTCACCCCATTTTTTTTTTGCTTTTCTTCTCCATGCTTTTTTTTTATTTAGATTGATTGATTGATTTGAGAGGGAAAGGAAGAGAGGGAGAGAGAGAGAGAGTGTGTGTGTGTGTGTGCACGCGCACATGCAGGGAGAAGGACAGAAAGAAAAGCAGAGAGAAAGAGAGAAAGAGAA